GACAATGGTGATGGCGACGACCAGTCGGACGCCATGGCGATCGACGACGAGCATGAGGTCAAGCCGGACGTCCGCGTCGTCAAGCCGCTCCGCCGCGGCGCCGCCGGCGCTTCGGCGGCCACGACCAAGGCCGCCGCGTCGACCTCGACCGCCGCCGCCGGCCGCCGCCCGCTCGCCGCCAAGCGCACCAACACGAACACGGCGGCGACCAACGGCCGCGGCGTCATGGCCAAGGCCGCCGCCGCCGCCAAGGCGACGCCGGCCGCGGTCCGCGTCGCGCGCAAGCGTCGCGAGGACGCCGAGGCGCGCCACCGCGCCGCCGCTGCCGAGCTCGAGGCGGCGCTGCACCTCGAGGAGGTCGAGCTCAAGCGCGCGGCCGCGCAGCAGGACGAGCTCGAGGTCGAGGAGAACCGCCAGGTCAAGAAGCTGCGCACGAGCGAGCCCGAGTACCTGAGGGCGCAGCGCGACGGCCACCACGATGACGACGACGACGAGGGCGAGCAGGCCGAGGACGAGCTCGAGGACGAGGACGACGAGGAGGGCCCGAGGATGAGCAAGTGGGAGACCGAGGTCGAGGCGAGGCCCAAGGACGAGGGGTGGGAGGACCTCGACGAGGGCGACGAGGAGGACCCGCTCATGGTCAGCGCCTACGTCGTCGAGGTGTACGACTACCTGCGCGAGCTCGAGGTGCGTCGCCGCCGTTCGCCTCTTTGTTCCCTCCCTGACGCGCCGAGACTGATCTCACCTCCTGCCTGCCCTGCGCGCGCAGCTCACGACCATGCCCGAGCCCGACTACATGTCGACGCAGAACGAGGTGACGTGGAAGATGCGCGGCATCCTCGTCGACTGGCTCGTCGAGATCCACACCAAGTTCCGCCTTCTGCCCGAGACCATCTTCCTCGCCGTCAACATCATCGACCGGTTCCTGTCGGTGCGCGTCGTGTCGCTCGTCAAGTTCCAGCTCGTCGGCGTCACGGCCCTCTTCATCGCCGCCAAGTACGAGGAGGTCGTGTGCCCCTCGGTCCAGAACTTCCTCTACATGACGGACGGCGGCTACACGGACGAGGAGATCCTCAAGGCCGAGCGCTACGTCCTGGGCATCATCGGCTTCAACCTGTCGTACCCGAACCCGATCAACTTCCTGCGCCGCATCTCCAAGGCCGACGGCTACGACATCCACTCGCGCACCATGGCCAAGTACCTCATGGAGATCTCGATCGTCGACCACCGCTTCATGGCGACGCCGCCGAGCCTCATCGCCGCCGGCGCGAGCTGGCTCGCTCGCAAGGTCCTCGGCAAGGACCGCTGGGTGCGTCCCACTCCCCCGCTCCCTCTTCCTCGGCCTCCTCGCGAGCGAGCCCCGGCACTGACTCCTGACCCTGCAGGACGCCAACCTCGTGCACTACTCGGGCTACTCGGAGGACGAGCTCAAGCCGACGGCGCAGCTCATGCTCGACTACGTCGTGCGCACGAGCGCGAGCCTGTCGGCGTGGGCGGCGAGCGCGGCCGAGGGCGACGAGGTGACGGTCGAGAACCCGCTCGAGCACTCGCCCGAGGACCACGAGATTGAGCACCCCAACTTCATCAAGAAGTACGGCGCCAAGAAGGTGCGTCTCCCCTCTCATCGTCGTCGTTGTCGTCGTCGAGTGCGACCCCGAGGCTGACCCTTTCCCTTCCTCCCCCTCTTGCAGTTCTTCAAGGCGTCGACGGCCGTGCGCAAGTGGGCCGAGACCGAGTACCAGCCGCTCGACTTTTACGACCGCGAGTCGGCCACCATCATGCGCCGCCCGGTCGCCGTGACGCTCTGAGCGTCTCCCCCTTCCTCTCTCCCTCTCCTCTTCTTTACCCCCTGCTTGTTCATGCCCCTTTGCAACCCCCTCGCCCCCTTGTCTACGACGACCTTATACCCACTGCCCTCGGCTTTGCCCGCTTGCGTACACTCGCCTTCGCCTTTTCTACCTCCTCCTGTCGGCGGCCGCCCTTTGCGGCGGTCGCGTCCTTGGTTCACCCTCGCCTGCGTCTTTACGCTGCCATAGCACTGCATGCAACCGGCCGCGCTTTGCCTCACCCTGCGAGAGTTGGCCTGTGCGTCGTGGTCGTCACCGAGAGCGGTCCCTCTGCGAGAGAGCGGGGAAGCGCACTCGGCCGCTGCTGTCAAGCTCGCACGCTCTCACGCCCCGCTCTGCCGACCTCGACCAGCCCAGGACCAGCAGCATGGGTCTCATGGAGCACATTGGCTCGCAGCCAGGTGCGCTGCGCTGCCCTCAGGAGCGAGGACGAGGGCCCGCCCGAGTTCATCTCGCTGGCGGGCTCCACATCCTCCTACGCCCTCACGACGGCCTCGTGCAGCACGCAGGACAGCACTGACTCGTTACCTGACCTGCAGAGTCGTACAAGCAGAAGAAGGCGTACAAGTTCGAGGAGGTGCTCGTGAGTCGTCGCCTTTGCTCAACCCTTCCCTCCGCCGACGAGGGACCGGCCCGACCTGCGCGCACGGCGAGCATCCTGGGCACCCCAATCTGACCGTCTTCCTCCCTTGCACCGGACCTGCAGGGCACTGGAGCGTTTGGCGAGTGCGGCGCCGCCCTTTCCCCCGCCTTCCCTCCCCTCGTCCCGAACCATTCCTCCCTCGGCAACCCCCCTTCTCGCCGTGCCTCGAGCCCTCGTTTACAGCCACAGACTGACTCTTTACCATCTCCCGCAGGGTCAAGCAGGCGTCGTGGACACCGCCGCCGGGCAACCCTCACTACGACGACGCGCAGAAGGTCGGCGGCCACATCGAGGTCGCCGTCAAGGTCATCAAGAAGAAGGCGCTCAAGGGCGACCTGCAGGCCGTGCACGACGAGGTCGAGGTCCTCACCGGCCTCAACCACCCCAACATCGGTGCGTCCTCGCCCCCCTCCCTTTTCTCGCTCGCCGACCGGGAGCTGACCTTCCTTCTCCCTCGCGCACAGTCAAGCTCTACGACTCGTTCGAGAGCAAGGAGAAGTTCTACCTCGCGTTCCAGTTGGCGTCGGGCGGCGAGCTGTTTGAGAAGATCGCGTCGAGGGGCAAGTTCACCGAGGGCGATGCGGCGACCGTCATCACCCACCTCCTCGTGCGTCCTCTGTCTCCCTTCTCAGCCGTCGTGTCGAGCAGGACTGACGCGAAGGACGATCCGCAGGAGGGCATCAAGTACCTGCACGACCACCACATCGTCCACCGCGACATCAAGCCCGAGAACCTCTTGTAGTGCGTCTGCACGCTCTCTCACCCTCGTCACGGGCCCGAATTGACTTGCCTTACTCCTCTACAGCATCAAGCCTAACTCGGACCAGCTCGTCATCGCCGACTTTGGCATCGCCAAGCACATCGAGGACAACGAGAGCTTGACGAGCCTCGCCGGCAGTCCGGGTTATGCTGGTGCGCCCGACTCTCCCTCCTTCTACCGTCTCTCGAACGCCGACCTGACTCTTCCCGCCTCTGTAGCTCCCGAGGTCCTCCTCAAGCAGGGTCACGGCAAGCCGGTCGACCTCTGGTCCGCAGGGTCCGTCCTCGTCCCGCCCGTCTCCCTCGCCGCCCGCGCTCACTCGCTCTCTCCCGCCGCAGCGTCGTCACCTACACACTTCTCTGCGGCTACATTCCGTTCCGAGCGACGGGCACGCAGGAGCTCATCGAGGAGTGCAAGGCGGCCAAGCTCGAGTTGTGCGTCGTCGAGCCATTTGTTCCCCCTCTCGAGCGTGCCCGACCTGACGTTTGTCCTGTTTCACTCGCCCGATGCACAGCCACAACAAGTACTGGAGCAAGGTGTCGGACGACGCCAAGGCGTTCATCCGGGCCCTGATCCAGCCCAACCCGGACGACCGCCCAACGGCCGAGCAGGCGCTCAAGCACAAGTGGCTCGTCGACGCCGCCAAGCGCCAGCACGAGCACGACCTGAGCGAGGGCTTCAAGGCCAACTGGTGCGTCTCCCGTTTCTCGCTCTGTCTCGGGCGCGTACTCTGCGTGCGCAGAACGGCCTCGAGGCTCGATGGAGCGGACGATGCGCACCTTGCTCACGCTCTCCCTTGCGCAGGACGCCGTCCCGGCGGTGGAAGAGCTCGATCAACACGCTCATCGCGACGCGCCGCTTTGCGCAGGCGGCCGAGAAGGCTCGCGGCACGTCCGGCTCGACGCCTTCCTCCTCCGAGTTGACGCCGGCCGACGAGCACCCGCCGCGCACGTCTGCCTCAACCGACGAGTACAACACGGCCGAGGAGGACGACCCGGGCCTGCACGACGCGATCCGGCGCCGGGACCGCGAGCACGAGACGGTGCGCGAGCGCGAGCTGCAGGCCAAGTCGCACGAGCGCGAGCGGGGCGAGGGGCGCCAGGGACGCCGGAGCGCAGAGCGCGACAGGGACCTGAATCAGATCAGTGCGGGCCTCGAGGGCCTGCAGACCTGAGCGCTCGTCGGGCGAGCTTCCTCCTCCCTCTCGGCGCTCGCTCGTTCGTCGGCGCACTCTCTCTCCTCGGCGCGCGCCCGTCGGTGCCTGTCAGTGCCTTTCCTCCCTCTCTATCTCGACGTCGCCGTGCACTGTATGTATGTATCGAGTCGCGCGTCGCCGCCGTCCTCGAGAGCGTCGACTCCTGCGAGCGAGAGGCTCATGCGCAAGTCGTCGCCGGCAGTCCGCTCTCGCGTCTCGGCAGCAGAGACTGAAAGCTGTTCATCTACAGTGTGGCTCGGCTAGCCTGGAGCTTGCGAAGCAGATCAGACGTTGGCGGCGTTGGCGGCGGGTGGTCGCTCATCACGTCGGCCAACTCTCCCGCCTTGCCGTCGAGCAACCACGGCACGCCAGCGGGGTAGCCGGCACCCCTGCTGTCCACACGCACCCATGAGCACCCGCGCTGCCCGCCAGCTCGCCCGCGGCGCCGTCGACGACCCTGCCTCGGTCCACCCCACCTCGTCCGCCGACTCGCCAGACACCGCTCTCCACACGCACGTCCAGGACCTCGGGCGCATCTGCCATGCTCAGCGCAAGTCTTCGAGCGTCGCTGAGTGGGCGAGGCGCAACATCGTCGTCGCCTTCGTGTCGTTCCTCGTCACGAGCCTTCGGACCTACCTGTGGACGCTCGTCGTCTCGCCCGCCTCGATCCTGTTCGACCCGCTGTCGACCTTGGCCACCCTCGTCCTGTACCCGATCATCGCCGCCGGCCTCGCCGTTCTCGTCGCCACCCTGTACCTCTTCTCGCTCCTCGGCGGCAGGCGCATCGTCAACTCACTCAGCGCCAAGTACGCCGACGGCTGGAGCATCGTCAACTGGGTGCGTCCCTCTCTCTCCTTTCCGTGTGCGGCGAGGAGGGCGCGCGGCCGCTCACCAGCTCTTCCCCTTGCGCAGGCCGACCCGACCCTCTTTGGCCCTCGCAGCGTGACGGCCTTTCACGATGCGCGTGCGACTCTTCAAGGCGACGGTGCGTCTCGCCATCTCTCATTCCTACGATTGAGGTCCTGACCGTGCCACTATGTCCGCAGTACAGACGACGATCGAGCAGGAGGTCTCGGCCGACGAGGCCAATCCCGACTTTACCTCGCTCAAGACGTGCGTGCGCTCCCTCTTTCCCTCAGCCCATCCACACACGTTGCGGTTCCTCGACCCGAATACTGAGAGACCGGTCGCACCTGCAGCGTCCGCACCTTTTCCCTTCCCCTTGCCCGCACCCTCCTCCTCCTGTCGTCCCTCATCTACGAGCGCGACGACGCTCTCGTCGACGAGGCCGGCCACATCATCGACACGGCCCAGAAGCTGTACCATCCGACCTCGCCTCAGTACGCTGCCGAGCTCAAGCGCGCCGAGGACCTCGTCGTCGAGAGCGAGGGCTTGATCAAGGGCAAGGTGAGCCTCCTCCTCTCCTTGTCCCTCTCTCGCCATGACGGCCCGAGCCCCTACTGACTGTGTATTACCTCCCGCCAGGCTGCCGAGTGGGGCCTCGAGTTTGACGGCGTGAGCGACCTGACGACCGTCGGTGGGCCGCTCGCGGGCATCTTCTTCACGCCTGCCGGGACCGCCAAGCCCTTCATCTGCCTCGTCTTTAAAGGTGCGTCTCTCAGCCTTATCTCTCCAGCTGCGCCGAGCCTGACTGACATGGCTGCGCCCGCAGGAACGACGCCGACGCGCTTCCAGGAGTTCCTCACGGACGCGACCATCTCAAAGACGGGCGCGAGCGTCTTCTTCGGGCCCGGGAGCGGCATGGTGCATGCGGGCTTCTACTCGAACTGTGCGTCCTCATCCTCGATCGGCGCCTGCGCAAGAGGACGAGACTGAAGCAGCCTCCCGAGCGCAGTGTTCGTCAAGAACGACAACGGCGACGGCGGCAGCGACGGCTACGGTGCGTCTCCCTCGTCTTCGTCCTCATCCTCCTCATCATGACTGACTACATTACCGCTCACAGGCTCGATCGTGCGCACCCTGCGCCACGTCGCGCACCGCATGCAGCTCGCCAAGGACGGTGACGACAGATCCCGCTCTGGGTCGCAGTGCGCCCCTCTCTCTCTTTCCTTCCCCTCCGAGGCCACCGTGACTGACTCTCGGACACCACAGGGACACTCTCTTGGGAGCGCGCTCGCGTCTTTATGCTTCGCCCGCTTCCTCCGCTCGGAGGCCGACCTCGGGCCCGACCTCGACTTGCGCGACGCCTATTGTTACGGCAGTGCGTCCTCGTCTCTCTCTCTCTCTCTCTCTATCCCTTGCCTACAAGAGCTCGAGCGCTCACGCGATCTTCAACCCGCAGCACCTCGTCTTGGCGACGGCGCATTCGCGAGCGCGTTTGAGCAGTCGATCGTCACGCCGCTCGACCGCAAGAACATCCTGTGGCGCATCCGCAACCACCTCGACTTTGTCACGGCCATCCCGCCCGGCCTCGGCGACCGCGAGTCGTCGCGCGACTCGCTCTCGTCCTCGTCGATCCTCAACTTTGCGTGGCTCGGCGCCGCCGTGCGCCTGCGCCCTGCGGCGTTCCCGTTCCGCGCGCCGTACTACTCGCTCGAGCGCCTCGGAGCGTTCCACGAGGCGGTCGAGGTGCGTGTAGAGGACGTCCAGGCCGACCTCGAGCACGACCAGACCGAGGCGAGCGAGCGCGCCAAGGCGGCGTCGAGGCGACGGGCCCAGTCGGCGGCGCTCAACCCGCTCGCGTTCGCCATGTCGCTCCTGCCGACTCCCCTCTACAACCATCGTGAGTCGACCCCTTCGTGCACGTCGTCTTGAGCGCTCGCGTGGCTCACCCTCTCCTCCTTGCCGTCCACAGTTCCTTCTTCCTACTTCGCGCACCTCGACACGGTCTGGACGACGGCGCAGCAGCAGGCGGAGGAGCGCATCGAGAGCGCGCAAGGGGCGAGGACCAAGGGCGGCGAGCTCGGCGACGAGGCGCACGCGAGGCTGCAGGAGATCCGCAGGAAGGCGAGGCGGGCGGCGGGGCGAAACGGTGCTTGAGGGGTCCTCCTCCTTCCTTTTCTCTCCGTGCATGTTGTCGTCGTCGATGCCTGTGCTTGCTGTAGATCTGTCTAGCTGTGCTTCCTCCCTCTCGACCACCTCCTCGCGTCGCGACTTGGGAAGGTCGCCCTCTTTCCCTCTCTCTCTCTCGCCGCGCTCAGTGCGTGCGCTTTACTCGCGTACTCTCGTGCTTGAGGCGGGCTCACCGCCCTGGCCCGCAGTGCGGCGTCCCCGAGGAGATCTCGGGCGCGGGCTCGCCTCGGTCGCCTCTCTCCCTCCTTCCCCTCACTCGCTCTCCCTCGTCGCTCGACCACCGCAGCTCGGATCTCGACGATGGACGACCCCCAGGCCAACAGGGCGCTCAAGGCGCCCATCCTGTCGCACGTGCAAGAGCTCTACAGCTTCGCCAAGTACCGCAAGACGCCGTTCGAGCGCCTCAGCGCCTCGTGCCCGGTCCAAGCCGTCGTGTCGGCCATCCTGTTCGTCGTCTACGGTCTCAAGAGCATCATCTGGGACGTCGTCCTCAGCCCGTCGACCTACCTGTCGGACCCGCTCCAGTCGCTCGCCATCCTCGTCTTCTACCCGCTCGGGGGCACGGTCATCTTCCTCCTCAGCCTCGTGTTCGCCCTCGGCCGCATCGGCGGGTACGGCGACTCGCTCATCGACTACGTCTCGGACCGCTGGGCCAAGGGCTACTCGATCGTCAACTGGGTACGTCCTGCGTCCCCTCCTTCTCGCGCGTCCCAGCCTCTCGACGCCGCCACTGACGCACAGGCCTTCACGCACGCAGGCCAACCCGGACATCTTCACGCAGCTCGCGCCGAGCGTCGACGAGGCGCAGCCGTACCTCGACGGCTCGAAGCCGACGACCGACTACCAGGACTGGCCCCTCGACCCGACGGCGCCCGGCCGCGAGAGCGCCCTCGTCCGCACGATCCCGCTCCCCCTCGTTCGCGCTTTCCTCGCCTTCAACGCCCTCGTGTACGAGCGCAAGGACCAGCTCGTCGTCCAGGCCAAGGAGGTCGTCGCGACGGCGTACGAGGCGTTCGGCGGCACGAGCGACGCCTTCTACGAGCAGCTCGAGAACGCGGCGCAGATGCTCGTCCTGAGCAAGAGCCGCATCGCGGCCGAGGTCGCCCTGTACGGCCTGCGCTTCGAGGGCGTGTCGGACCTCAACTCGGTCGCCGGATCGTTCGCGGGCCTCTTCTTCTCGAAGCCGGGCTCGCTCAAGCCCTTCATCGTCCTCGCCTTCAAGGGTGCGTCCCTCTCTCTCTCTCTTTCTGCCGTCGTCGCGCTTGTCGTCGTCGAGCTTTCGCGACACGACTTTCGGGCACTCGCTCACCCCCTTTCGATCCTCCAGGAACCGGTCCCACGGCCTTCGCCGAGTGGCTCACCGACTGCACTCTCGACCGCACCTCGGTCACGTCCGTCCTCGGCGGCGGCGGCGCCCACACGGGCTTCTTCGAGTCGCTGTTCCGGTCGCCGCGTCGCGACTACGAGTCGAACGGCTACGACACGATCCTGCGCGCCCTCAAGCAGGTCGCCAAGGCCCTCAAGCCCGGCGACAAGACCAAGGTCCAGCTCTGGGTCACCGGCCACTCGCTCGGCGGTGCCTACGCAGAGCTCGCCTACATGCGCCTGCTCGCCTCGCCCGCCGACCTCGGCCCCGACCTCGAGCTGCGCGACTGCTACACGTAAGGCGGGCCCCGTCCCGGCGACGGCCAGCTCGCGAGCGAGTACGAGAAGATGTCGCTCACGCCCCTCGAGCGCCCCAACTCGCTCTGGCGCATCAAGAACCGCCTCGACGTCGTCACGCGCGTCCCGCTCGGTATCGCCGACGACGAGGACCGCCGCGACGCCCTCACGCCGCTCGACGTCCTCAACTACGCGCACCTCGGCCCGGCGCTGCGCCTCCACAAGCCGGTCAAGTCGTCGGGCCAGGGCCGCTTCTCGATCGAGTTCCTCGGCCGCCTCAAGGGCGCGTCGCACGTTCAGATCCTCGACAAGGGCGACGTCGTCGTGCCGTGGGGCATCTCGGCGCTCGACACGGTCGCCCAGGTCCCGACGTCGACGTCGATGTCGCCGCACGGCTCGCAAGGCTCGTCGTCGTCGTCGGCGACCGTCATCGTCTCGGACGAGGGCGTCAACCCGGTCCAGGTCGCCATGAAGCTCTTCGCGACGCTCGTCCCGTGCGTGTGGAACCACTGTGCGTCGCCTCGTTCCCTCCCTCGTTCCCCTCTCCCGCATCGAAAAGCGCGCACTGACCCTCCCTCTCCTCCCTCTTCCTTCTCCACCTTCCACAGTCCCTGCCTCGTACTTCGACTCGCTCGGCAACCCGCACTCGGTCAACACGGTCTCGCGCTCGACGGTGCGCCCGTCGGTCGGCGAGAAGAGCAGCAGCTCGCGCTCGGCGTGAGGAGGAGGAGGAGGATTCGCTTTGTGCCAGCTTTTCGCCAGTCTGTCTACCCCTCTCTGTGTCTGTCTCGTCTTCTGTAGCCTGTCGTCGCTTGCTGTCACGAGATCGCTTTCGATGTCGCGCTCGTCACGAGAGGCCATAAGCGAGAACGAGCTCTCGACGTCTATCGCACTCTCGCTCTGACTCTCGCTCGCGCTCTCGCTCCGTCCGACAGGCTCGAACAGCCGGCAGACACTCTCGGGCATAACCGAGAAGAGGGAATCTAGTTGCTCGCCCTCGCACCTCTAGCTCTACGTCGTCCAAGTCCTTTGAACGCGCTTCTGCCGGTCATACGACCCTCTTGCTCTTGCCGATGCCCTCGCCCCTCAGGTAGCTCGCACACGTCTCGACAGCGACGACGCAGCTGTCGACCTGGACCTGGTGCGTCCCTGCGCCGGCATGCGGCGACACGACGACGTTCTCGAGCCGGAACAGGCGCTCGTACCGCTCGAGTGTCGCCGGCTCGTGCGCGAGGACGTCGAGGCCGGCGCCGTAGATCTCGTTGCGCTCGAGGGCGTCGATCAGAGCCGGCTCGTCGACGAGGCCGCCGCGCCCCGTGTTGATCAGGATGGCCGAGGGCTTCATGCGCGCAAACTCGGCCGTGCTCATGAGGTTGCGCGTCGCGTCGTTGAGCGGGCAGTGGAGACTCACGACGTCGGACTCGGCGAGGAGCTCGTCGAGGGACGAGACGCGGCGGTGCGGGATTGGCGCGTGCTCGGACGAGACGTCGGACGAGGTCCACTTGGTCGGGTACGAGGTCGGCGAGTAGACGAGGACCTTCATGTCGAACGCGCCCTGTGTCGCAAAGCGGGTGTCGAGAGTCACTTAGAGACCTCGAGAGGCCGAGAGAGAAAGAGAAAGAGACGACGCACGACCGCCTTTTTGGCAAACTCGCGCGCGATGTCGCCCATGCCGACGAGGCCGAGCGTCTTGCCCTCGAGCGTCTCGGCGAGCCAGTGGATCGACGGCATGCGCTCTCCTCGACGCAGGCGCCGGTCAAACTCGACGGTGCGGCGCGCGACCGAGATGGCGAGGACGAGGGCTTGCTCGGCGACGGCTTTGGCGTTCGAGCCCTGCTCGAGGGACGGGACAAAGTCAGTTCGGGAGGTCTTCGCGGGTCGCCGCGACGGTCCTCGAAGAGCGAGAGGGACGCACAGGCTGGTTGGTCACGGCGATACCCTTCTCGCGGCACGCTTCGAGCGGCACCGTCTCGGTCCCGACGCTGCGAGCGCACAGGCGGGTCAGTCGGCGCACGGTTCCTTCCGACAGGGAGAGCGAGGACGCACCCGTTGCGCGCAATGATCCGCAGCTTGGTCGCCCTCATCGCCTCGTCGGCCGACACTCCTCCCTGCCGCACAACAACGGCATGGGCCTCGTCGGTCCAATTCGCCGCTCGAGGCGAGTCCGGATCGATCACGTCAAAGAGCTGTGCGGCGAGCTTGCGCGCGGTCGGGTGGATTGGCGTCGGGAGCCAGAGGACGGGGAGAGATGAGGAGGACCCAGAGGATGAGGAGGAGGTCGAGGAGGTCGAGGCCGCGAGAGGCGGTGAGGCGCGGGGCGTAGGTGCAGGCGAGGGCAGAGACATCGTGCAGGTCTGTGCAGCGGGTGCACGAGCTGGCAGAGCCGTCCAAGTCGTGGCGAGCGTGCAAGAGTCAGCGGAGTGTGGCTCCGCTCGCAGTCTTCCCCGCGGGATCTGCCGCTCGGCCGACGGCAGAAACTCTCGGACTCGCTCGCGCACAGGTTATCTCTGCTTGCAACGCGCACCTCGAGAGCAGCGAACAGAGCCGAGCGAATCGCCAACTGGGCGACGCCGTAGTCGCGCTCGAACCTGTCCTCGGCCGGGCTTGACCGCTTTGCACGCTGCCGCTCCGCGCGAACACGACTGTGGAAACGCTCTCGGCGACTCTCGAACAACGCTCGCCAAGCAGGCGCCGCAGCGACTCTGGCTCTCACGACGAACCGAACGGCCGAGAGAGGAATGACCAACGTCGAGTTACTCGTCCCTCGCCAAGTCCACCTCGATCGCCTCGTCGCCGAGCTTGTCGCGCAGCTCGGTGTTGAGCAGGTCGTGCATCGTCGTGCCGTCGCGCGCGTAGAACCACACGCGCTGGGCCGAGTCGTAGTCGTACCGCTTGGGCCCGCTGAGGGTGCGCGACGGGGTGCGACGAGTCAGCGGATTGCCTCGAGCATCAGCACAGCCACCCGCCGTGCCGAGTGCGACATGACTGGACGACTGCCGTATGAAGAGCGAGCCGAGGGACGCACCTGACGGGGCTCGAGAGCCAGATCTGCTTGTTGGGCGGCTGTTTGTTGATGACGTACGTGCCCTTGTCGCCGAGCTTGAGGGTCAACACGCCCGACTTGCCGCACGTAGACGTCTTGCACAGCGTCAGTCCTGTCCTGAACGAGAGAGAGGGGGGTGGACGCACCGAGTACTCGACGTCGAGGCCGGGCAGGTCGAGGTCCTCGAGCTTCTCCTCGAGGTACTCGGTGAGGCTGTCCATCGTCTTGTTCGACAGGTCGTGGTACTGGCGCTCGGTGAGGTCGCTGCGGAGGTGAGGACGAGGGTCAACGCGAGGGACAGGGAGGAGGAGGGAGGGAGAGAGCGGGCGCACCCGATCGTGTACTGTGCCGCGGGTTCCTGGCCGATTGGACGAGTAGTCGAAAAGCATCGGCAAGGTGCAGGAGACAGCGCAGGTGCGCGTGCTGGTTCGACGAGGTGGAAGGTCGGGGCGAGGAGAGATGAGGTTGGAGGCGAGGCGACGACAAGACGAGAGGGGGCGGCGCAAGTCGCTCGTCGCAGGGTAGACCTGGCAGGGTGCAAAGCGCGGTGCATCGTAGCTGCTCGAGTAGTGGGCTGGTCGTGGGGCGAGAGCGCAAGGCGGACCAACCGGCCTCGCTCATCTCGCTCCTCATCTCTCACGTCGACGACTGCTCCTGATGGCTGCGACACCCAGGCCAGTCAAGCGCAGGCGCATCGAAACCCCGTCAGCCCCTCCGACACCCGCTCCCACCGACGCCGTCGCGTCCGACCCTGCTCTCGACGCGACCACAACAACTCTCGGCGCGCCAGATCGACAGCCAACACCCGAGCAGCCCCAGGCGCGCACTAAAGAGCAGCAGGAGGAGAGGGAGAGGCTGTACGACCTCGTCGCAGAAGAGTACCACGACAGTACGCCCCCGCCGTCCTCTTGCCCTCGTCCCCACCTCCCGAACGACGGCTCACCCACCTTGCCTGCCCCGCCCAGTCGTCGCCGAGATGCCTCTCGAGTACCAGCGCACCTTTCAGCTCATGCGCGAGCTCGAAGACTCGCAGCAAGGTGCGCTCGCCTTTCCCACCCTCGCCTTCCTCCCCTCGCACGTGGTTGACCCCTCGGCCGCACACAGAACACGAGCAAGGTCTCAAGACGTCCCTCGGCGCCTACATCACCGCTCTCGAGAACGCTACCGCCGCACCTTCCCCCGCCGCGTCAACATCGACCGCCGCCGAGCCGCCGACCCTGAGCCCCGTTGCGCGCGAGCACCTCGTCGAGCTGTCCGACCACGCCAACAAGGCCGTGCGTGCCGCCGATGACAAGCATGGTCTCGCCGTCACACTGTACGAGATGGTGCGTCCGCGTCCCGTTCCCCTCTCTCGCACGTTCCTCGCGCCGTCTGACACCAACCTTGGCGTCGCGCAGGTCGACCGCCACATCCGCCGCCTCGACGCCGACCTCGCCAAGTACGAGGACTCGCTCGTGATCGGCCTGCGCGACGGCACCTTGCCCTCGCACGACGCGCCCGCCGCAGGGCTCAAGTCGCCCCCGGGCGCGACGACGTCGCTCGGCGCGATTGCGCTCGGCGAGCACGAGGCGTACGACGCCGTTGAGGGGGCCGAGGGTGGCGGCGGCGATGGCGGTGGCGAGGGAGCGGGTGCGGGAGGAAGGACGAGGGCGCGCAAGGGCGGCCTGAGCGCGGCCGAGCGGGAAAAGGAGCGCGAGTGGAAGAGGAGCCGCGAGCTGCAGAAGCGCGAGCGCGCGCTCAAGAAGAAGGAGGCCGAGTCGGGCATGCCGAGTGCGTCCACGTCTGTCTCTCTCTCGTCTCCTGCGACGTGCGCACTGACCCTGTCGTCGTCGCCGCAGTCGACCCGAACGAGCCGACGTACTGCTACTGCGACCGGGTCTCTTTCGGCGAGGTGCGTCCGCTCATACTCTCTGTCGGTCCCTCTCGAGCACGCCTGACGACCTGTCGACCGGGCGCGCAGATGATCGCGTGCGAGAACGACGACTGCAGCCGAGAATGGGTGCGTCGCCGTCGTCCTCCTCTCCTCTCTCTTCGCGCCCGTCCTGACTCCTCTCCTCGCTCGCTCGCAGTTCCACCTCGGCTGCGTCGGCCTCGAGCATGCGCCCGAGGGCAAGTGGTACTGCGACGACTGCGTGCGCGAGCTTGGCATCGACCCGGCGACGATGCGGCGCAAGTGAGTTTGAGGAGGAGGTTCGCGCTTTGAAGGTAGTCTCTGTTGTTGCTGCAAGTACGGTCCTGTTCTGCGAGCACGTCGTGGTTGCAGAGAGAGCCCGACGATGTCAATTGAGCGACGTCTCGCGCCGCGACTCGCTCCTCTCTTCCTCCACCCCTCGACCCGCCTGCGGGCTCCTCGCCTCCGTCCTCGCCTTGCCGCCACACGAGCACCGTCCTCTCGGCCCTCGCAGCCGCAGGCCCACCCTCCTCCCAGCCCCAGCCCCAGCCCCGCTGCCGCCACCCCCCGTCCAGCGCACAAACACCCCGCCGCTCGCCGCGTCGCCCCCTGCCGAGCTCCGCCCCAGGACCGCTCGGCGCTCTAACCCTAAGATGCACGATTCCGCCACCACGCCTGTCGCCGCCTGGGCTCGATACCCGGGCACGCCCCTCGCCGAGCACGACGCCGAGTTCCCGTCCGAGGCCGGGTCACCTTCGACGCGGGTTGAGCGACTCTGGTGCGCCGCCCTCGTTTCTCCGTCTCTCTCTCTCTCGGTCTCTGGGCTGCCTCTGCGAGGAGGGCGCCTGTGTGCGGGAGGAACGGGCGCGGTGCGCGGCGTGCTCGGCCAGGACGCTCTCGCGGGCTTGTGGGGCTCGAGGTGCGGTTCGACGAGGAGGGCGACGACGAGGAGGAAGAGAGCGCGCCCGAGGGCCTGCTCACGGTCCCTCCGGAAGTCGGGCGGGCTCGTCGGCGAGGCTAGGGGAGCTCGGCTGGCGGAAACGACGTCGAGGCAGTCGTGCTCGAGGGCGGCGGGCGGCACGACGAGCGGGTTCGGCACGCCCCGTGCGTCGGCTCGACGGTACCAGGCCCGCACCGGAAGGGGCTGTCGGGCTCTCCCGTTCGCTGTCGTGCGGCGACCCAGAGGTGCGGCGCTCGGCGGGCGTCAAAAGGTCGGGCGCTCGAGGTCTCGACCGGCGGGTCCGTGCGACGAGGGTGCCGCGCCAACGAGGGCAGGGGCGGTCGCGTTCTTCTTCCCTCTCTCTCTCTCCTCTCCCGCTCTCGGTGCTTCCAGGTCCAGTTGGCGAGGCGCTCTCTCGCGTGTCGGGCGCGCCCGCTCGAGCTCGGGACCGCTGCCGACAGACCAGCCGTGACGCGGCCTGGTCAAGGCGCACAAGCTCGGAGCGAGGAGGGGACGAGGGACGAGCGAGTCGGCTCATCGGGGCCGTTCAGCTCGCGCTCGCCGGTCGGCTCGACTCACGGTCGAGCTCGTGCAGCGTCGAGCAGAGCGGGGCGTGAAGGGCCAGGAGGAGGCGGAAGGGTCGTCGCTCTCGGCTCTGGCACCTCTGAGCGTCGTCGCACCTCTCGAGGGCGGCGGCGGCAGTCGAGCTTTAGTTCGGGGGCACGACCCTCCCTCGACTCGCACGGCGACTCGCACACGGCGCGCCCTTCCCATCGCGGGTCGGCGCGCGCACCAGCTCGTCGCCGGCGAGGATCCCGGCGATTTTCGCGACTCGCATTCTTCGCGCCGGCCCAGTTCTCGGCACGCCGCTCTCGCGGCGGTGCGTCGAGGGGTGGGACAAGCCCGTCTGCTGCCGTGAGGTACGCGGTCAGCGGGCAGAAAATCGGTCCTGCACGCCGAGCGCGCGGCGGTGTTCTCTTTCCTTTCGGGCGCGAGGCGGTTCGGGGCAGGGGCAGCAGCACGGAGAGGCGGTCTCTCTTCGGCGGGCCGCACGAGATGGGAGATTTCTCGAGGAGATGAGGGGCAGTCGATGATGCAGGATGGCCGTCTCGCCAGATGGGTGCGCCGTCGTCGAGTCGTCGCTCGCGCACGGCCCTCTCGCCTTCCTCACTTGTCCCCTCTTTGCCCGCCTCGCCCGTCCTTCCAGATCACGTCGCCGCACCTCCTCTTCCTTCCTCGCGCTTCGAGGACGTCTCGCTCCGGCGTGACCGAGCAGCGCGCCCTCCCTCGCCGTCGCACCAGCCCTCGCCCATCGTCGCCACCCCTCTCGAGCCCGACCTTCCTCATCACCTCCCTCGCCCTCTTCCCGCCGCCCTCGAGGCTCTCTCGCCAGCGCACCGTCGCCACCTCTTCCTCACGCCGCCGCACACCTCCAAGCCCTCGTCCCTCCGCCCGCTCGAGTTCTCGAGCCCGCGCCGCACAGCCCCTCGGGCCACGTCCTCGCCCGCCCGAGCCCTCCCTGCTCCCCGTCGAGAGCGCAGCTCCTCCGGGCACCCGCACCACGCGGGGAGGCTCGCCCGCAGCGCCCTGCACCGGTCCCACCCCGCTCGAGCTCGTCCTCGCGACGCAGCGCCGGCCGTCGCCGTGCTGCCGCAGCTCGAGCCGGGGCTCGTCGGGCGCGCGCCGCCCCTGTTCCCCTTCGCGCTCGGAGACGTGGCTCTTTCCCTCGTGGAAGGGGCCCGTCCGTGAGCGGAGAGAGGCGGCTGCTGCGCCCTTGAGGAGCGCCTCGGCGCACCTCGGGACCGGGTCCTCGCGAGCCTCGCTGCGCTAGAGCCATGCGCTCGCGCGTGTCTTCCCCGCTCGTCCCCTCGAGCGGGTCGAGGACGCACTCGGCGGGAGCACAGGGTCCTCGTCGTCGTCGGCGACGGGCGTGCGCGGCGGCGCCTCTTTTGCGGCTCCTCGGCGCGCGCGACGCGGGACGATCGGGCGGTGCGGCAGTGCGAGGTCGGGGCGTCGCAGGCCATGTGCCCGTGCGAGCGGGTTAGGCGTGCGCTCTCTCGAGTGCGCGCGCCGGTCGAGGCCGTCGGGTCGAGGTTGGGCGACGAGGAGGGGAGGACGGCCCGAGAGGAGGCGGCGGCGGGGCGGCTGTCGAGGGCGCGACGGACGGGCGGGTCCTCTCTCGCGCGCGCAAGCGTGCGGGACAGGGGGAGGAGAGTCGGTCGGCGGCGATGGTCGTGGGCGTTGGTGCACTCGCAGGCGAGGGGCTCGAGGTCGGCGGCGGGTCGTCAGGAGCGGCGAGGACGAGGCGCGTTGTACCCGGTCGCAGGCCTTTTCTGAGACTGCCTCGCTCTCTCTTGCATCGTTATCACTGTCACGCTGCCGCACACCCTGCCCGAGAAAGAGAGCGAGTTGGCTCGCGTTGTCGACGAGGAGGGGGAGCCACGCACACCTCGCGTTCCTCCCCACTCGACGCTCGCTCGCACAGCTACGATGGCCGACACTCCTCGCACCGCTACCCCGCCTGCGCGCATCCCTGGCGCGACCGGCCCCCAGATGCGGTGCGTCCTCCCCCTCTCCTCCCCTCGTCGTCGTCCTCATCTCCCCGCCGTCCGTGGGCTGACCCCACCCCCTTGCCTGCCCCCTCGCCGCCCCTTACCTGCCCGCCTACCACCTTGGACTCGACCGCGCCCAGCCGCCGCGCAGCAGCGCTCGCCGTTGCGGGCAAGAAGGACGACGCGCCCAACTCGGCACGGGCGGCCGGCCACGGCGGCAGCAGCAACACGATGATGCGCCTGTACACCGACGAGGCACCCGGGCTCAAGATGTGCGTCGCTTCTCTCCTGTCTCGAGCCTGCGCGCGTGCGGAGCGAGCGAGACGAGGTCGTCCTCGTGGAGGGGGGGCCACCACGCAGACGGGCTCGCGAGCTGGACGCTGCACGGAACAAGGAGGAACACGCTCGACGTGGAGCTCTGCGTCGAGACTCTCGGGAGCATTGCCGCAGACCCTGTACTGACCATGCCCCCTGCCCGCACCCGCACCTCCTCCTCCCTCGCCCCACCTGCGCCCGTCCGGCCCGCATGTCGACCCGCTCTCGTCGCCGCCCTCTCCGCCCTCGCGAACTGCATCGCCTGCGTCGTGGTTCTGGTCACAGCGACCCGGTCATCGTCCTGTCGCTCGCCGTCGTCTTCATCTTCTCGGTCGTCAGCCTGCACCTCCTCAGCAAGGGTGCGCTCCCTCTCTCTCTCTCCCCCCTCTCTTGCCGCCAGACGCTCATGCCCCTGTTCACGTCACAGCTGTCCGTGTCTTTACCAAGTAAAGCGGCGCACTCTCGGCTTTCGTGTTCCTCCTCGCCGTCCGCCATCCGCATCGCACTCGTCGTCGTTCCTCTCTCGAAAACGCCTCGCGCATCGGCCGGCGGTCCCACCTCGACGAGGAGCACGAGCGAGATGGACGTCGTTCAGCAGCAGTTCTTCCCCTCCCTGTAACAACCTTGTGCTTGCGGTTCCTCCGAGTCACTGCGGGGCTTCGTCCCCGTCGTCGTCGAGAGGGCGTCGCCGCTCGAGAGACGCTCGAGCCTGCTGCGCCGAGCAATTGTAGCACGCACAGGAGAGAGAAAGCGCTGCAGAAAGAAGGTTGACGCACAATTACGGGCGCGAGCCCCTCGCCTCCGCCGTCGAGCGAGGTGAGCGAGTGCGACCTCACACCACCTCTCGCGGCTCGCCCAGTGTACAAGGAGCCGTGCCTTCGCTGTACCTCGGCCGCCCTGTGGATGCATTCGCTCGCGTCGCGCCTTGGCTCGCCCCCGTCGTTCCACCTCGACCTGACCCCGGGTCCTCCCTCGTCGAGCCTGTCGCACACGTCGACCTCGTCGGCGACAGCGACGAGCGGGTCCACGCCGACTCGCGCCATGTCGCCCCTTCCGCCGGCCGTCCTCGACTCGCCCGGGTACGACGCGCCCCTCTCGTCGTCGTCGGCCTCGTCGTCCTACAGCGCCCACCACGACCACGACCCCTCGGCCCTCCCCGGTCCAGCCCGCGCCGCCAGGATCGCTCACGGCAGGGCCAAAGGTCCGCCCATGCGCAGCAGCACCATGCAGGACGACTACTACGCCGGGCCGGGAGAGCCCAGCGCCTTGACGAGGGGCAAGGCGCCCGCCCAGCACGCCAACGGCCAGTTTGGCGCAATCGGTCAAGGTCCGTCCCTCTCTCTCTGTGTACCCCTCTCGAAGGACGGGCGAGCGCGAGTTGCCCGGCGCGACCTCGCCCGACTCGGACCTCGCGCTGACTGTCGGCTCTCTCTCTCCCCGTGCAGGGTACCCGGCACCTCGCCCACCAGGCGGGCTCTACAGCCAGGGCAACCACTCGTCGCCGTCACTCGCCCTCGGCGCCAACCTCCCCGATGACGTGCCGCCCATCCCTTCCTCGTCGTCGACCTTCTCCCCCTTTGACGTGCCCGACCTGCCCCCGATCCCGGCCGTCGACGACCTCAACATCGGCCTCGAGAACATGCGCTTCGAGCAGCGCCGCCCGAGCTCGCTCGAGCACCCGCTCCCGCACCGCCCGACCCCGCAGGGCGGCCAGCGCCGCTACAGCCCCAACGCCGCCGTCCTCGGCAGCGGCGGGTACGGCTCGGTCGGCCAGGACGGCGCCATGGAGATCCGCCGCGCAGGAGACGACCTCGCGAGCGTCTACTCGGTCGACAGCGCCGGGCCCGGGCCGGCGCACGGCGGCGGCGGCGGCCGCGACTGGGTCCCGCACTCGGGCGGCCCGAGCGGGACGCACACGCGCACGACGTCGACGTCGAGCAGCCCGTACAGCGCCGGGCACACGTCGTCGTCGTCGGACGCCCAGCTCGCGTACAAGCGCGACTCGCTGTCGACGGCGAGCATCATCGACGGGTACGGCGAGGTCGAGCCGCCGCACGCGCACGCGCACGGCCACGGCACGCGCCCGTCGAGCGTCGGCAGCTTCCTCCCGTACGACGACCCGTACGGCGGCATGCAGCAGTCGCACCAGCAGCAGCAGCCGCCGCAGCACGTCCAGCAGCACCAGCAGCCGTACCCGGGCTCGGGCCCCGACTACTTCGGCGGCCAGCAGCAGGCCGCCCCAGGCCCGTCGACGGGCTACTACCCTCCCGGCGGCGAGTCGGCCTATTTCTCGGCCGGCGCGCCGCAGCACGGCGGCGGCGGCGGGTACCCGGGCGGCGTCCCGGCGCACCTCGGCGGCAGCGGCGTCGGCGCTCACGGCTCGGCGGCGGCCGCGTACGCGCAGCAGCAGCAGCTGTACGGGCAGCCGCAGGCGATGCACGGCGGCGGCGGCGGCGGCGGCGGCTGGGCGGCAGGAGGACCGGGCGCCGGGTACGACTACCAGCAGGCGGCGGCGGCGCGCAACCCGTACTACGCCGCCGCGACGGGCCAGCTCGGGCTCGACCCGGTCGTCGGCGGCGCGGCGTACCCGGGCTCGCTGCACCGAGGCGTGTCGAGCGCGTCGTCCATGTCGATGGGCGGCGCGAGCCTCGCACCGCCGTCGGTCGCCGCCAACTCGCTCGCGCGGTCCCAGTCGTCGCTGCACGTGCCCGGCGGGCCCATGCGCCGCAAGCCGACGAGCGGCTCGACGGCGACGGTCAACTCGATGGCGTCGGCGTCGTCGGCGTCGGGTCCGCCCATCACCAAGGCGTCGGTCGACGACTACCGCCAGCGCATCAAGGCCGACCCGGACCCCGAGGCCCAGTTCAACTTTGCCAAGTACCTGATCGAGGCGGCCAAGAAGATCAACTCGTCGGCGGCCGCCGACGAAAAGTCGGCCAAGAAGTACCGCGACGCGCTCCTCGCCGAGTCGCTCAAGCTCATCAAGCGGCTCGCGACCCAGGGCAGCGGCCTCGGCAAGCCCGCCTACGCCGACGCCCAGTTCTTCCTCGCCAACTGCCTCGGCAACGGCTCGCTCGGCCTCCAGATCGACCACGAGAAGGCCTACAACCTGTACGTCCAGGCCTCGAAGCAGAACCACTCGGCGGCGACGTACCGCACCGCCGTCTGCAACGAGGTCGGCGCCGGCACCCGGCGCGACCACGCCCGCGCCGTCCTGTTCTACCGCAAGGCGTCGGCGCTCGGCGACACGGCGGGCATGTACAAGCTCGGCATGATCCTCCTGCACGGCCTCCTCGGGCAGCAGCGCAACCCCAAGGAGGGCCTCGCGTGGCTGCGGCGAGCGGCGAGCCAGGCCGACGACGAGAACCCGCACGCCCTGCACGAGCTCGGCCTCCTGCACGAGAAGCCGCCGCCGCTCCTGAGCGCCGCCGCGGCAACGCTCAACGCCAAGGCGCAGGCCGCCGCCGGCGCCGCGCCGTCGTCGGCGCAGGCGGCCAACCCGACGCTCGTCGCGTACGACCCGGCGCAGGCGCGCGAGTTCTTCACGCAGGCGGCCCAGCTCGGGTACCCGGCGTCGCAGTTCAAGCTCGGCGCGTGCTACGAGTACGGCACCCTGACGTGCCCGATCGACCCGCGCCGCTCGATCGCGTGGTACACGCGCGCCGCCGAGCGAGGCGACCCGGACGCCGAGCTCGCGCTGAGCGGGTGGTACCTGACGGGCAGCGAGGGCGTCCTCAAGCAGTCGGACAGCGAGGCGTACCTGTGGGCGAGGCGCGCCTCCAACAAGGGCCTGCCCAAGGCCGAGTACGCCGTCGGGTACTACTCGGAGGTCGGCATCGGCGTCAAGGCGGACCTCGAGGAGGCCAAGCGGTGGTACATGCGGGCCGCAGGTGCGCTCCCTTCTCGCCTTTCTCCCTCGTCCTCTCGTCGCGCCATCGACCGACCTGACCCACGACTCGATGTCCCTCTCGCTCTGCAGCCCAGGGCAACAAGCGCGCCATGCAGCGCCTCACCGAGTTGAAGAAGCTCGGCGCCGACAAGCGCGGCGCGGCCGGCGGCAAGAAGCGCCCGACCCGCAAGGACGCAGAGACCGAGTGCGTCGTCATGTAGGCGGCGCCGTGTCGAGCACGCCGTATTCGTCGTCGTTGTCGCGCTCGCCTCGTCGCACGAGCCTGTCTCTCCCTCTTCCTGTCTCTCTCTCTCAACCTGTCTATAGAGTCGAACCTACTCCCACACACGCCCTAATCGTCTTCGTCTCATGTCCCTCTCTCCTGCACGTCGCCGTCACGCACCTCTCCTCGCAACCTTCTCGCACGTCTTCCCCTCTCGTTGTTCCTCTCTCTCTCTCTCTTTCTATCCCACTGTCGCTCCCCCCTCTCTGTCATCCTGTTCCTCGTCGCGAGCTGTAAACCTCTCGAGCACAATCACGGTCGCGCCATCGTCGAGGCGGTCGGAGTTGCGGCAGCTTCAAGTTGTCCGGGCCGAGCGAGTTTCGAGGCAGAGTGGCAGCGTCACTCGAGAGACGTTGCCGAGCTGCAGGCCGGGGCGTGGCTCGAGCGCGCACTGAGATCTGAGAGGCTGCGGTGCGGACCGACGAGCTCTCGCACCGCCTGGTCGTCGTCGCCTCGAAGCCGAGAGTCGCTCAACCCTCGCCCGCTCTCTCTCGCTCAGCACCTGCACCGCCAGTGCACGCCCAGAGCTCAGCAACCAGCTCGGCCATGAACTTCTTCAAGAGCAGCAGCAGCTCAAAGACCAAGGCCCCGCCCGACCTCGTCCGCGCCCTGAGGGACAACGTCGCCAAGCTCGACTCCGCCTCGACTGGGCCCGAGCAGCGCAAGAAGGTGCGCCCCGTTTCCTCTGCTGCATACTCTCGAGGGCTGGGCGTGCGCGCACGAGGCTCTGGGGGCGGTGGGACGGTGCGGCGAGGCCAGAGATGTGCGCGAGGTGGGGGTGGGAGCGGGCAGCGAGCGGCGTCGCGGGCCAGGCTGGACAGCGCGACTGGGTTGGCCAGGCGTTACACTCTCGAGGACCGCCCTGACCGAGCTTCACCGTCCACGCGCGCAGGCGAGGGAGGACGTGTCCAAGTACCTCTTCCAGATGAAGGTCCTCCTCTACGGCGACGGCGGTGCGTCGTCTACGAGTCCAATAACGACGAGACGACCTTACTGAACCTCGCGGCCGCCGCAGAGAACGACCCGCAACCCGAGATCATCGCCCAGCTCGCGCAGGAGGTCTACGCCAATGACCTCTTGCACCTCCTCGTCCTCCACATCTGTCGCTTCGAGTTCGAGGTGCGCCCCTCTCTGTCCCTCGATGCATCTCCCCTCAGCGAGCGGTGGACTGACGAGGGTGCCGCGATCGCAGGCGAGGAAAGACGTGTCGCAGATCTTCAACAACCTCCTGCGGCGACAGATCGGCTCGCGGTGGCCGACCGTCGAGCACTTGAGCGCCAAGGAGGACACGATCTTTGCCGCATTGACCGGGTGCGTCCCCGCTTCTTCTGTCCCTGCCTCGTCGAGCGCGAGCACGATCTGACGAGGCCCGCGAGCGCAGGTACGAGAACGCCGACGTCGCGCTCAACACGGGCATGATCCTGCGCGCCATGCTGCGGCACGAGCCTCTCGCACGGATACTGCTCTACTCGGACAAGTGCGTCACGTCGACTCGTTCGCCGGACACGAGGCGTCGCTGCGGCACCTCGGTCCCGTCTGCGACGCGCCGGTCGTCAGCTCACCAACGCGGTTGCTCCCCTGCAGGTTCTACAGCTTCATCGACTACATCGAGCAGACGACGTTCGGCATCGCGTGCGACGCTCAAGCCAACTTCCGGGTGCGTCGCTCGGACCCCCCGTTCGCCTCTCGAGGAGGAAGGAGACTGACTAGCTCTCGACGACGACGGCAGGAAACGCTCACTCGTCACAAACCGATGGTGGCCGAGTACCTCGACGAGAACTACGACCGAGTGCGGGCCCGTTTCCTTGCCCTTGTCGTCGTCGACAGAAAACTGACCCCGTCGGCCGTCGCAGTTCTTCTCGCACTACTCGCTCCTCGTCCAGTCGTCCAACTATGTCACCAAGCGCCAGTCGCTCAAGCTCCTGAGCGAGATCCTGCTCGACCGCGTCAACTTCAAGGTCATGACGCGGTACATCGCGCGCGAGGACAACCTCAAGGTCGTCATGAACCTGCTCAAGGACCGCAGCAAGAACATCCAGTTCGAGGCGTTCCAGGTGTTTAAGGTGCGTCCTTGGGCCTTCTCTCAGTGCCTCGATACTCTCGTACCCAGTCGACTGACCTCGCCGCCTGTCGCCCCTCTTCCTTTCCCCCCTCCTCTCTCCGCCAACTCGCCCTCGTCGCGCGCCTTCCTCGCCTTCTCGAACATCGACCTCGACCACGCCGGCCGCAGGTCTTTGTCGCCAACCCGAAGAAGCCGCCGCAGATCGAGGCCATCCTGCGGCGCAACCGCGACAAGCTCCTCGTCTTTCTGCGCAACTTTCACAACGACCGCGACGACGAGCAGTTCAGCGTGCGTCCCTCGGTCTCTCTCGTCGTTCTCTCTCTCTCTCTATGTGCGCCTGTGCGCTCTCGAGGGCGTGTCGCTGATGTCCAGGCCGGCGCAGGACGAGAAGGCGTTCCTCATCCAGCAGATCGAGTCGCTTTGAGCGACCGAGCCGCCGACCTCCTCCCTCCTCCCCGCTCGCCCGCCCCATTCTCCGACTCTCGTCGTCGTCGTCGTTGTCGAGTGCCGCCGCCGCCGTCGGCCCTGTACCACCACGAGCTAGCCTCGTGTGCCTCACCTCCCTCGCCCTCGCCCAAGCGCCTTTATTCCCCGCCGGCCGCCCGTCCTCGGTCGCGCTCGCGCCCGCTCTGGGAGCGGCGCACACCCATACCCCCTTGTCTCTCGGCCCCTCGTCGTTCGTAGCCCTCGCCCCCTCTTGTTTCCCACCTCTTCCCCTTTTCCCCTCGCGCGCACCTCTCTCCTCGCCGCCGGACCCTCTCCCTCGTCGCGCGCGAGCTCGTGACACTCTCGACTATCGTTCGTCGTGCCTCGACTCTCTCGGGAGGCTGCGAGAGAGGGCTATCGAGCGAGAGAGGGAGCGA